GAACAGGAGCAGCTTCTAGCTGTGTATCTGAGGTAAAAATAAAGGCCTGAATACTTGCAGATGATTTTGAGCTTCTAGAAATAAATTGAACACATCATTTTTGAAGTGAGAAATGTATTTGGTGACTCAAAGTCCTCCTAGAAGCAAGTCCTTCCACTCAGTTTCTTAAAAGCCTCCTGACACTTTAAACATTAGAAAAATTTATTTCAGTTGGCTGTTTAATGTTTTTGCCAAATACTCTTTAAAATACCAGAATAGAGAGGATGGAGGATTTAAGTTTATTAGATTGATCAGTATTGCTGAACTATGAAATATTTTGAGTGCAGTGTGTTTTTTGCATACAGGCATAACAGAATAGCTTTAGTGTTTTGTTTTTTAAACTTGAGAATGAACTTATACAAAATGCAGCAAGATATTCAAAAAACATTTTTAATGATTAAAAAATACACTATATCGGATTCATATCGGTATCGGACATATAAAGTGGTATCGTGTCATCTCTAGTATATACAGAATGTGGCAACTGAAGTATACACAGAGGGAAATTCAGGGAAGTGCAGACAGCCATGTAGAACGAGACCCAGCTGAACTAAATTATCAACAATGGCACAAGGAAAGCACAAGCACACCAACTCAAAATAAACCAAAAATGTCATAATTATATGTCAAGTTTATTTCTAAAGTACATTTAAAAACTACAGCTGATGATTAAAGTTATGTACATCTAAAAGAAAATTCAAGTAACATAAAACAGAGGACACAATCAAAGTTTAGATTCAACAGTTTTTCCAAACAGTTAGAGTTGAAGCATTCGCAGAGACAACCCTGTGTTTCATCCCTGACCACCAAATACAGCACCGAGCTCCTGTCAGAGCTTCACACTGCAGCGATAAAGCTGTGCTGCACAGTGGGGACCTAAACATAATCATCAAATTAATGACAATGATAACACGATCACATGCTTAACTTGTTACAGACAAATATACACAATACACCTTTTACCTGACATCCTGTCAGAAAACACTGGAATTCAGCCTACACCTAAAAATTTCCATGTATGGTGGATCCTAGATGCACTCCAGCTGTCGATGGTGTACTGCCCACAACTCAACAATGGCCTCTGGGAACAGACATAAATAAAAAGTTGTGTAATGTTCAATCTCACATCCTGTCCAACCTTTTGGAATGAGGTCTGTCACACTAGGTGTTTTGGCAAGATGCACTCCAGAAAACATGCCTGTCACCTTTTCATTGACATTTACATTAATTTTAATGTAAATCAAATTAATTTGATTTGCATTAATTAACATTAATTATGTGTAACCACATAATTTCCTCAGGGATTAATAAAGTATTCTGAATGTGTCATTTAGTTCACTAATTAGTAGCATTTACCTTCACGACAGTGGTGATGTCTTTCAATTTGTAGCACAGCAAGTTTTTTGTGTTTATGATTCTGTGAGAATCGCTCCACATGGTTTACCCAAAGTATGTTGATTTCCTCAAAATCAAATGTAAAATGCGCCCTTATATCTGCTCCTCCCAAGCCTTGACATTCTAGATGTCTCATCCAAGTTTTTATAAATCTCAAAATACCTAAAAATTGTCTTTGTGTCCTTGCATGATGATACTGTAACTAGTTTTGTGTTTTTGCAAATATTTTGTTGACTCCTTTCAAATAAAGGGGGTTTTCCACATACTTCACTCAAGTAAAATTGTTAAAAGTTAAATTGTCTACATTCCCCACTGGTTCCTGGTCCCTAAAAAGGTACCGTCTGAGCAGAAGCAGATGTAGATTAAAGTTGTTGTAATATGATGGCATTAACTGGACTCTAACAGTGTGAATACACAGTCATCCCAAAGATGAGGTGCAGTGAGGGTGACACGAAAACTTTCAGTGCATGCAAAATGACATCATTGCACTGAAAGATCCTCATTTTACACTCGGCTCCACTAAAATCCCATCTCGATGCAGTCTGGCCAGTTTAAAATATGTGTTCTTGCACAAAAGCACAACCAGAATACCATAGTAAAATGTCATGTGATTGAAAAAGTGAGACTGTGATGAAGATGATGTACATATGACAAAAATTAAATTTTTGCAAGAAATGCATTTTGAAAGTACACATAGTGTACTTTCTGTGGTGCAGTTTGTTAGCCCAAGTACATAAGCATACGCCGACAGATGTTCACCATCAGAGAAGCATGTACAAACTTAACGGTTCTTGATTCAGAGCCCAAATGTCAGAGTAAAGGAAGGCTTTCAGAATGTAAAGTGCGTATTGTTGTTAGCTGTAATAAAATCCCAGTGGGAACAAAATGTACACTAAAGTCCTTATTATCCAAACTGTTCCACATCCTGTATCTGTGTCTACACCGAGTCAAAGCAACATGACGTATAATGGGGTTTTTCAGATGAGTGTGTTAAGGACTGATAACAACTACGTAACACTGACACGATAACCTGTAAACATGCTGTGTACTCAAATGCATCTTTTGATATTTCAGAGGGCTGATAAAGGGACTGTGGGAGCTTTTCTATCTGTTACACCCAATAATTCTGACATGAAGCTGATGCTAATGACACTTACTAGAGATTTTTGTCAAACATCAGAAAACCTGCTCACAAAGGATTGGATCAATGGGTCAGTGAGTCCAAAGACTAAGCACAATGATCCTTCTAACATCTTTAAATGTAATGACCAATATTTTACATCCTGTTATGTTCCCTCCATTCATCCGCTAAAATTTAAAATTTGGGTTAAAACTTTTCAAACTTCAACATGGCATGTGTAAACATACTAGTTTTCTTAAGTAAGCCTAAATTATTTCTGTTTCAGAATCTTATTGTCAAGAACAACAAAATTGTAATCAAACCCGTCCTGAAAAAAATACTTTTTTATTAAGCCACAGCTGTGCAAATGATCTAGTTTAACTTTAAATCCACAAAACTTGTGAAATAAGTTAAAACTGAGGATTATCTTTCAACTTACACAGACACATTGTGCCAAAACCAAAAGAAATCAGTTTAGACTTGAGAAAAAGACTTGCTGAGGCTCAGAAAGCTGGAGCTAAAAATACAACATTAACAAAAATTTTCCAGGTGTCAAGAAGTGGAGTGAGAAGGATCATCGATACATTCAAAGACAGCCAGACAGTACAGAACAAGCCTGGCAGAGACTGGAAGGAATAGATCTCAAAGACTGGACAGAAAACTAGTGAGAGACGTGTCTAAAGACCCCAGAACAACCAACTCCTAGCGAACCTCGTCCCCACAGTGAAACACGGTGAGGATGCTTCATAGTGGAAGGAAACATGAAGAAAGAAAATGTGACAACCCTGAAGGAAAACATCAAGCAGTCAGCAGCAAAACTGTGCTTGGGTCTTCACTTTGTCTTCCAACATAACCGCAAAACAAAACAGACGTGGCTCCTTCAGGAGGCGATGAAAAACCAGCTCACAATGAGCATTACTGACTGGCCTGCACAAAGTCCTGACCTGAAGCCTGCTGAACATCTGTGGAGGGAACTGAAGACCGAGCTCCATAAAAGATGATCGTCAAATCTGGAGGTGCTTGAGAGTTTTGCAAAAGAAGAATAGGCTGGGGTTACTCGGTTCAGGCTGTTATCCAACAGAGACCACACACAGCTGACTGTTAGCATCGTGACACTAACAATTCTGACCCTGCTAGTTTTGTGTTTTTGCAAAGTAAGAAGTAATGTGAGCATTCAAAATAAAACTAGGATGTTTGAACACGCTGTTTTAAACATTCCTGCTCTGTTTAATGAAATGTTCATTGAGCGACTAATGACCTACAGTGAAGTGATCATATTAGCCAGTGAAAGAGTGACATTATTCCATTTTTACCTATAACAGTTGTGGCCGATCTGTGTTTAATTCTGGGTAACTCACTCTTACTGCTTAATCAGTCTCTCTGTAGCTACTTAGAGTTGTGTTGCTGGCATATGCGACGTGCTTCTGACAAAAATTGATTAGTGTATTAATCTTTTGTTAATCTGTCAGCACAAGGAGTGAACTAAAGGAATTTTTGTTTGATACGATATCTCTGGCCTCAAACGTTCCAGCCTTGGGACTCTCCTCCATCTCTGCCATCTCTGTATCTTGGTGGCCTTGACGACTTTCTTGCCCGTGTGCACTTGTGTTTGCAGCCACGTGGTGATTAGAAAGCTGAGATTACGAACGGGACCGGGACAAGATGTTGGTCACTAGAAAAATCTCAGCAATCAAAATTCATAAGGAATTATGTCTAATTTTATTCCATTTAAGAAGACATAAATGTTATATGCTGAAAGGTTTCAAAAAACACCTGAAGCTCTCGGGGCTTATTTCAGGTGTCTCTCTGTAAGAGGCTGATTCATCAGTGGGAGGTTCCCATCAGGTAGCTCCTCCAGCCCTCCTCTCTACCCCACTGGTTCCTGGTCCCTAAAAGGTACCGTCTGAGCAGAAGCAGATGTAGATTAAAGTTGTTGTAATATGATGGCATTAACAGGACTCTAACAGTGTGAATACACGGTCATCCCAAAGATGAGGTGCAGTGAGGGTGACACGAAAACTTTCAGCACAAGGAGTGAACTAAAGGAATTTTTGTTTGATACGATATCTCTGGCCTCAAACGTTCCAGCCTTGGGACTCTCCTCCATCTCTGCCGTCTCTGTATCTTGGTGGCCTTGACGACTTTCTTGCCCGTGTGCACTTGTGTTTGCAGCCACGTGGTGATTAGAAAGCTGAGATTACGAACGGGACCGGGACAAGATGTTGGTCACTAGAAAAATCTCAGCAATCAAAATTCATAAGGAATTATTTCTAATTTTATTCCATTTAAGAAGACATATATGTTATATGCTGAAAGGTTTCAAAAAACACCTGAAGCTCTCGGGGCTTATTTCAGGTGTCTCTCTGTAAGAGGCTGATTCATCAGTGGGAGGTTCCCATCAGGTAGCTCCTCCAGCCCTCCTCTCTACCTGGGTGTGGACAGCAGGAAGGATCCAAATAAAGAGAGACGGACGGCTCACAGAGACACCATCACCAGACAGCCTCCTTAGCAGCAGCCTCCACCCTCCTCATCCTCCAACAGAGCTCCAGAAGGTAAGACGAGCTGCACGAGTAGAACAATAAAGAGTCACTGACGGGCATCTCTGTGGCTTTAACAGGATAAATAACAGACAGACGAAGGAGTGGGCAAAACTCGCACACTGACTTTTAGAACTTTTAAATGCCGAGTCCTCCTTTTAAAGGATAAATTTAGGGTTTTCGTTGTTTTTTTTGCTCATGATACGCATTCCTCCAGTCTTTTATTCATATTGTTATGTTTCTCTTCTTTGAAGTTTGGTGTTTAATGAGAAAATAAACTTAGATTCAGAGAGGAAATGTGCCAAGTGTTGATGCAAGGAGACAAATTTCACTGACAGCTGAAGGAGCATGGAGATGTTTAACTCGCACAGTGATGATTGTTCAGTTAGTCTGTTTCTGTGACATCATCAGAGTCATAATTTCAAACATTCTGCATGCTGGGATTTTCCTAACCTTACAGATGATGTACAGTAATAACTCCAAGTGTTACCATTTGATGTTTGTGCTACTTTCTGTCCAATCACAGACGTCCAACTGTGTTTTTTTTTCTTTCAGGTCTTTGTCAGGCGATTGGTTCCCTCCAACATGCTGTGCCCACTGCTCTTCCTGTCTGCATTCATTGTACTGGCAGGTAAGCATGCACCGCAGCTACTTTAAAAGTATCCTTACTAGGGATGGGTACCGGTGCACCGGTTCTGACATAAACGGTAGTAACCAGACCAAAAAGCAGCGCACATTTCGGTGCTTTATTTCGGTGCTTTTTTTTCCTGAGCTGTGATACACTTTAGATTCTAGCCAATCATTTTACGTTTCCGAGGATAGTAGGCGGGTCCAGGTACGTACGTTCTTTTAGAGCAGAGCTACAGATTAAAAATGTCCAAGGTGAAGCGTTCAAAAGTCTGGCTGTACTTCACAGCAAAATATGCAAACTCAGCAGCAACAAGTGCTTTAAGCTGATACTGTGATACTGTGCAAAGGAGGCAACACCTCGAATCTGATGAAACACCTGGCGACGCATAGCGTTTTTTTAAAAGCCGAGAAATGCGCCGTATTTGATGGCAGCAGCAGCCGAGAGGAGAGTCCTGGCCCCTAGCCCTGCCAGTGTAGCAGAAATGATGAGGATGATGATGCAGCAGCAGCCGTTCTTCTCTGCGTGAATAGCTTAATGTTGTTCGTGTGTAGTTTACGTTGAGTAGGCTAACCACGTTATTACATTAATGCATGTAAGGTGAACTAGCAAACATCATCATAGCTACATGCGGCTGTCTTCTTGTTTGATGGCAGATACTCCCTTCACCCTGGCCAAAAAGGCTAAAATGACCAAAGAAAAAGTGGGAAACCTCACTCATGTCATTGCCTGGCCCTATTTGGTTCATAACAGACAGAAAGAACATTACCTTAAAAAGGTACAAGAGGTTTTTGGACAAAGTTTGTATTTTTTCCATTGTTTAAGCACTGCTTCCAGCCAAGAGTGATACCATACATGCCCCATAGCTGCAGAAAAGGCTAACATTGTTGTCTTTTTACAAAAAACAGCTGAACATGAGAGGTTTTTGGACCAATTTTGTGATCTCCATTCTTTAAGCACCGGTTTGAGCACCGTTTGAGCACCGGCACCGTTTCAAAAGTACCGATTTGGCACCGGTATCGGATAAAACCTAAACAATACCCATCCCTAATCCTTACTAGACTTGAGTATTTGGTGATTAGTATTCAGGAACTGATAATCAGAGACTGAGGAACAAAGACCAAATGACCTGAAGTAAGGAGGGACAGTGAAGGCCATTTGAAGTGCTGATAATCTGACAAACATGGACAGATTTTCCTGGGATCCTTGCTTTCATATCTTTATTTTAGAATAAACAATCATACAAACAAACAAGCATTTTTAAAGAGTTCAAGGGATGTAGATCTCTGTCATCCGCCCATCCATCAATCTGATGGTTCATTAATTACATTCAACACGACTCCCTGAACTCTTTCAAACGCCCTGTCTTGTCTTTTAGTTTCTATGATTTTCTCGTGGAAGGTTTGGCGCGTTTGACAATGCTATGGTCTTTTTTGCATTGAAAACACTGAGCTCTACTAACATTTTGCTCACATTTAACATGTTTGTGTCCTTCAGGGTCCAAACACACTAAATATAGTTTTGGTTCTATGTGGAAGAAATTATTTCCTGTTTTCTGTTCACATTCAATTTAACTCACTCATCTTAAACTTTTCACGTAATAACTGAACATTTCAAGTCCTGTTTTATGTTAATATTGAGTTATTTTCGTGGCATTTTGAACTAATAAGACTCAGACAAATTATAACCCCTAGTCCTGATCCTAAACTTGAGTTACTAAATTGAAATTTAAAGACAATAAACCAAAAGTGTAACTTGCAGATAACTGACAGCATTTTTTTCAGTGGCAGAAACAAGCTTCCATATTTACTGGATGCAGGAAGATAAAACTGTATCATGGGGAAAATATGGATCGCTACATACAAAAATAGCAGTGTGTGTGTGAAGAGAAAGGCACTGTAGAGAAATATATAGTACTAAAAGTTTATACTTCAAGCACTTCAGTTGTTAAACATTTTTCAGTTTTACTAAGGTCACCAATACAAATATCTGCTCTCTTTTAGAATAATATATTAATGCTTATAAAACAGAAAAGATGTGTTAAGATATCTGCAGCCAGCCAGGAGAAAATCAGCAAATAAAGTTGAGAATCTTTTTTTTTTCTTAACTGATACTCAGAGAAATACAAAAACATTACTTTGAGTTTGATTCCATAAAAAGTGACAAAAACATTAGCGTCCATCGTGCGTGGGAAGAAAACTTCTTTTTACAGCGAAAAAAACCCCCTAAACTTCCAAGCAAGCACCGAGTAGCTACCACATAATGGGAATCTCACAGAGAAACTCGCGGATTCTTCAACTGACCGCGACACACCTGCACCAGGGCAAGCATCCGCCTACCCTACTCCTGCTTCACAGGTGAAAATAGAGCAAAAGGACCGCTGAGTCTTTGATTTTATTTATTTTCTGCTGTGTTTTACTTGCATCTATTTGAAAGAGTGAGTGTAAACACAAAATAATATTTTATTTTATGTGCTGGAATGTGCAGAAAATAGGTTTAAATGTTAAACTAATTTATTCAAGTCAGAGAATGGTGCATATAATTTAAGTTTTGCTTGATGCAAAAAGTTAAAAGATTAAAACTAATAAAACAAGCTTTAAAAAGAGACTTTTCCATTTGATTACATTTTGTATGATGGATTATGCAGAAAAAGTAGAATTGGGCTGAAAGATCTATCACTTTATCACCTCTTCAGGTTGTAAATCGTGTTTTTAAAAAGTAACTAAGTAACTAAGTAATTAATTACTTTTGAAAATAAGTAATCAGTAAAGTAACGGCATTATTTTTTGGGGAGGTAATCAGTAGTTAGTGATTACTTTTTTCAAGTAACTTGACCAACACTGCTCGCCATACAGAGGTCCGAGGGATCTCCCAGAAATGGCCAAGCTCATTTCTGGAGAATAGGTGATTGATTTCATACCTGCTGATCTCTTACCCAGTGCAGGTTAGGTTTGCAGTATTAGTTACCATCATGATATGCCCCAGTCACACATTCACAGGACAGGAAACCCAGCGTAAATAAGTTTGAATCCTGCTTCGTAGTGGACCTCCAGTCTTTGCATTTGGAGTATTTTCCCTGTCCATATCTGTCTGTTACTGGTTTTTCAGCTTCACCCTGATTATCTGTGAGTCCCTGTCATGTATTTCATACATTTTGTTTTACTTTGTTTTAGCCTCACTGGCACTCTGAATGTTATCAACTCAACATATTAAGATCAAAACAGCTCTCATTCTCTTTTCCAAACACTGCATAGCTGATCTATACGATGCAATATCTGAAGTTACAACATAGTAACCTTTCTGTACTTTAGTGTTTAGGCCTGTCGTGAGAGTACATGTTAATGTACTACCGTAACATAGATAAGACTTCATAAGTCCCCATATATCCATCAACCCTATTTCTTTAGCAAAATAATTTGAATAGTTGTTTTACACCAGCTATGAGACTGATCATGACCTATCCGGCTGTCCATCGCTGCATCGAGTATGCTCTGCTATTACAAATGAGAGTGTAAAGTGAGTAAGTAATAAAAACGTTAAGTCTACTATACCCATCCATATAAGTTCCCCAAGTTTAACTTTTCCAAGATTTTGGCAACTTGTACGAATACTTTGTTTCTACAAATGCGTGAATATGAACCTTTGTTTGTCCTAACAGCTAACAAGCTGCAGCTCACACCTCTCACGTGTGTCTGTGTCTTCAGGTGCTCAGCAACAGTCAGTCACTCAGCCTTCAGTGGTGGACATCAGCTCATGTCCCATCACATATTATGGACAGAAGTACGAGAAGCTCTATGTGAGTAGGATGAAGCCTGATGTTTTAGCAGAGCTTTATGTGTTGTTGCTGTTTAATCTCCACCTGTAGCAGAGATGATGTTTGCAGACTGAGTGAAGAGTTCAGAGATCAGCGTCTTATTAATGTCCTCTGCAGTGATGCTGAGTATGTAACCATCACCTGATGCAGCTTCCTGAAGCAGAGCGAGAGCTCTGACTGAAACCTGAGCACCAACAGTTCAGCTGTACATGACAGAAAAACCCACAAAATATTTTGCTATTTGATTTGTTGTGTCTCTGATTTTTACAGGTGACCTTCACAAGACGAGACATTGTGATGTGTTTTGACAAGTTTTACGACCCTAGGAATGAAGGCGACTGCATCGTGGGGAGCTCACCTGACAAAAGGAGAGCAGCTTTTAATATAGTTCAAGCAGAGTCTGTTCTTGAACGTTGGGTTAAAAATAAAACACAAACAATTCAGAACAGTTTGAGATGCAGTGTGCAAATAACCATGCAGATCAGCAGTTCAAAGGTGAGTCCTGCTCTGCATCACAAAGCCTGAAGGGTGTGCCTAAAATTAATAGTTTCAATCAACACTGAAAACAAACATAAAATGAAAAATGTTTTTTTTATTTTTTATTTTTTAAAGGGACATTGTAGACTAATTAACATGAGTATGTAAGATGCAGCCGTACAGGCTAGTTTTCACCTGAAGGGTGAAGGAAAACCAAAGATGCAAAGGCATCTAAGCGTACACAGGAGACAGGACCAACGCATGTGAATGGTAAAAGTAATGCATAATCATAACCAAACAAACTAAACATCAAAAGCAACTATTAAAGATTGAAAACAGAAGCACTTTAAGACAATACAGACCATGAAAACAGAGACTTGCATGGATATCACTTCAGTATATGACAACATGTTGGATTATGATCGTGTTTGTTTAAAAATCACTTTTTCTGCTATTTTTGTTGCTAGCAGAAGGATTGGTCTGATGATTGGTTATATAATCACCTGATTTAAAAACATGTGTGATGACTGTAGTTTTTATAGCATATGGAAACACTCCATTATGAAATTCAAAATGTTTTAGCAATGCAGCTCAACAGGCCCAATGTTAATGTTGTGAACCTGAGCTTTTCTAAACACTTTCAGATGAAACTTCTTCACAGTGACTGAATCTTTCCTGTTAACCTGTTTACAGATTAGCTTACACCTATTCAACTTTGGGACAGAAGCAGCTATGTTTTTGGAAGCACGTGGCACTGGTTTAGTGGCGGTGAGTCTGTGTGTATATGAACAATAACACTTTGACGTAATATGTTAAATACTTTATATTTAATGTCAACATTTGTGTCTGTTTTCAGCTTGATGTCAGTTCTTTCTGTTCTGTGATTATAACATTAGCTGTGTTTGTTTCTGTTTAGTTCTATACTCAGGTCAGTGATGTCGTAATCAACAAAGTAGAGGTTAATAACATTGTTTACCAGTCTCAAAATCATACCATAGATATCAGTGGATGCAGACACTCAGGTTAGTGAATCTTAAACTCCTACCGTGACTTTGGGATTATGTAATTCTGAAAGATTTGATTGTTACTGTTTTATTTGCACTTACAGTTGGAAAACTGTTGAACTAAAGTGAAGCCTCTCTTCCCAGATACTGTGTATAAACCTGGTACTGTGGTCAACTCTGACCCACAAATCTGCTCCAATGTCACCTGTTCTGAGACTGCAACCCTCCAGACCTCTGGTTGTGGTCCATTGGAGCATTGTCAAGGCAACGGCATGTAAATATTTTCTCTTCATATTTTGTTACTAAAAGGTTCTACAGTGAAATAACTTAAGAAATAGAGGGTCCCCTGGGGTAACCTTCTTTGGCAGCAACTCATGGTGATGTTTGTGGTTGGTTGCCTTTGTTAGCTGTGTGTTGGACACCATGTTGGACTCCACCTGCACTGTGACCGGCCCCACTGTCATCGACGTCCACGGCCATATGAACTCCATCCAGGATCGCTGTGCATACTCTCTGTTCTCGACTCCGTTACTCCCAGACTTCCTTGTTCTGGGGAACTTCAGGGAAAGACGTCGTAAAGATGTGAGCTTTTTGGACAGTGTGACGCTGCGTGTGGACGGGCATGACATTCACCTGGAACAAGGTGGGAGAGTTCAGGTAAGCGACCTACAGCTACAGTTCATGTGTCAGAGTGGAGTCTGATCCAAAGTCCTCCCTCATCCTCTGCTGTGTCTCCTCGCATCGTTCTTCTCAGGGCTGTTAGAAGCAGTTCTTTCAGAGCTGCTGAACTCAGTGGTTGTTGCTGTGAAATCAGCCTGTTTGTGTGTTTGACATGTTTCACTCAGTGTTTCCTCCACTTTGTCTCTGCTGTGATGCAGCTGGACGACTCCACACTGACCCTCAGCAGCTCACCTCAGCTGGTTCATGGTGTGCAGCTCTCTAAGGACCAAACTGGAGTCACTGCCGAACTCACCAACCTCAACATCTCCGTCTTCTTTGATGGCAACACCGCACAGATCCTCTTAGAAGGTACAGAAAATAAAGTTTAACTCATGTAATGTAAACTGTAAACTGTGCTGTTATTTATTGAGCTGCTGTGTTCCTCCAGTTTGAATATTGATGCTGATCTGACTCATTCTGTCCTGATCCTGTGCAGGACAAGCTGGTTCATCTGTGGAGGGTCTGTGTGGAAACTCCAGCAGCTCTCTGAGTGACCTGAGGCTCTCTGAGTACAGCTCCACCAGGTAAGACCTCATCACAAGCTCAGAGTCCCTCTGACTGCTGCTGCTGATGTTGCAGATATTCTGTTTGTATGAATGAGCCTGAACTTTGTTGTTTGTCGCCCCCTAGCTGTGAGATGCAGTACAGTGAGACTGCTGACAGCACGATCGACTGCAACAGTGTGACTGAACGGTGAGCAGACTGATCCACAAGGCAGGATCTGTTTACCCTTTGACGTAATAAAAAACATGTGTGTTGATCTGTCTTGTAAATTACATGGTACATCACATGTGACTGTAGCATAGATGGAAGATAAACACAACTGATTACAGATTATTATTTTATTGTCTTCAATTTTGTTTCTCTATCTGTGGTACAGCTGTAATCTCCTGAAGGAGGCGCCCTTCTCCTCCTGTAACACTGACATCGACCCAGAGCCCTACATAACCGCCTGCACCGACACTTTGTGTAAATATCCTGCAGTGGACGGACTCAACTGTCAGTTCCTGAAGGCCTACGCCAGAGCCTGCAGTCTACACAACCACACTCTGGATGGCTGGACATCAAATACCGGCTGCTGTAAGATGTTAATAAGACCTTAATAAGACGTCAGATTGTCACTGATTTCTAGAATCGATTCAATTCTGATTCGATTCGATTTGATTTGAATCGGGGAAATTTGGCCTCAGACAGTCAGAAATATTATAATTCAGATCATGCATCGGTACATTTCTATATTTTTATATCTATAAAAAGAAAGCTGAAACTTGCGAGACTTTATCAAAGGTGTAAGCATCACAGCAGATACCTTTGTGTCAAAGTAACTGAGGATAAAACACAGAAAAACATGAAGGTGATTTTCCTGGCCTGAGATTTTATAAAAATATTCTGTAGTAGATCAAAAACGAAAGAAACCATTATCAGCATATGACATTACCTGATGCTGCTGAAGTGAAGCAGAGCAAAGTTACAGAGGTTTTATTAGAGACACAGCTAAACGTTTTGCAATTTTGCACAATTTTAAAAAGTTTAAATTTGTTCAGTAGCCTATTGAACAGCAGAAATTAGCTTTTCTTTTCGGAAGTAAGTAAAAGGAAAAAAACAGCGGCCAACAGTGCTGTAAACAATGGTAGACTTGTGCGCAAGCGAATAATGAAGAAAACAGATTTTTAGACTGGAAGCTTGTTAGCAGAGACGGGTCTTCCAGCAGAATCTGCATGAATATTGAAGATACTTATTATCTAGACGGAGGAATAATCACACGTGGGGCATCGGCTTTCATGGGAACATTCACACCATTCACACCAAAAGGCGTATACTCCGCAGCATAACAGGAAGCATCCTTTCAAAATAAAATCACAACAGATGACAATGAGGGCATACCTATTAACTAGCTCAACAAAACTGTTCTTGAAGTAGACTGAGAGAGAGAGAGAGAGAGAGAGAGAGCTGTGCATGAAGTGTGATTGTATCGTGGTGGAAGCAAAACAGCAAAAGTCAGAGGAAATTCACGTCGATGTTTATCAAATGTGAAGCGTAGTTTGCTGCTTCTTTTGCAGCTGGTTCAGTGAAAACCTGCAGCTTCGGAATCTAGCGCAAAAAATACGTACACACAAAGTGTGGACCCGCCGAAACATCAGAATCAGCGAGCTGTCGACTTTCAGCCCCAGTCCGTGCCGTCGGGTGAGAAAGGCAACATCTCACTGATTCTGATCCTGATCCGCGGGTCCGCGCTTTGTGTTTACGTCTTTGTGCAGAATCCATGTACCTGCTCTCATTTACTGTTTTAGCTGTTTGGTGGTTGTTGAAATTTTGTGAGGTTTAACCTGAGATTCTGGCTTTTCGGGCTAATTAAAATTTAGATTAAAAAATCGATTCAGGATTTTAATGAATCGATATCACGTTATCCAAGCTAGAATCGATTTTAATCGATAAATCACTAATCAAACCCACCCCTATTAATAAGCTCTCCTTTGTTAAAGAACTGAACTGTGGATTTTTAGAGCTCCCATGTTTTCAGGATAATAGATGAGTGTGTTCCTCTGTAGCCTCTGAGGCCTTCTGTCAGGACAGGACCTGCAGCGATCACGAGTTCTGTGGTGAGAAGACGGTCAGTGGTGACACTCGCTGCTTTTGTCGGACCATTTTTGCCTCCAAGTACCAAGCAAACAACTCTTTGGGTACGACAGCTGTGACATCACCATGACAACAGGGCTGAATAATGTAGGAAAGCTTCTAACTGTGATTTTTCTGACTGATATTGTGACGTTCAGGTGATGCAACGGTCTGCAAGGAGAACTCTGCTTCACTAACTCTGGTCGGTTGTCTCCTGGAGGACAAAGACATCAATTACTCTGCTTTACAGCTCAACGACCCGACCTGCAGGGGTCAGGTGGACAAGCTCACCCACATGGTGACCTTCAGCTTCAACAGCAGCAACAGATGTGGGACGGTGGTCACGGTGGGTTTCATCTCCTGCTGTTTAAGCTTTGATCTCTGTGAATTCTAAATTTTTGGTCATCTGAAGTTTATACCAGTCAGTCAACATCTTAAACAGTATCAGATGTTAAAGATGAAACAATGAAGAACTTGCTTAGTATCTGATTATGTGACCCTGCAGACCAACAACAGCTACATCATCTATAAGAACACCATCAGGAGCCAGAATTACTCTGACGTCATCACTCGCAAAGACCAAGTCCAGATCGACTTCTCCTGTGTTTACAGTCAGCCAAGCATCCACACTGCAACCTTCAGAATCAGAGACTGGTTTGTAGTGGCTGCTAGGTATTGTTTGAATATTTGTTAAAATGTGGGCATTGCTAACAGTGCAAGTATTTTAAGATGTTGGGATTAGGGCTGCTCGATTATGGCAAAAATGATAATCACGATTATTTTCACTGAAATTGAGATCTCGATTATTTGACGATATTTATTTAACCCTTACGACCTACTATAGAACCAAGTCCGCCAGAGCTTATATTATTTTTTTACATGTTGTAGTGCCATTTGTGGGAGCATTTCAAGTTGCTATACAACTATTATAGCCCATATTTTAATAATATGTATGCATTAAGTCCATAGTAACTACATTAATTGCAAAAAAGTGCAATAAACTACAAAAAAAATTGAAAATCATTTTTGTTTTGTTTACATATATTTCTACTTGGAGAAATTTAAGAGGTTTATCCCTCAAAACTTTAACTACAAAGAAGTTGCAAAAAATAGTTTACAACAACAGGAAATTTATTTTGAGTATCTTCATAGTTTTATTTTGGAGATACACCAATTTTTATATACTGCAGGAAAAACGAAAAAACAATCCTAGCATGTGCATGAAAATAAACTATTTCCAGCAGTGCAATTCGAGTTCTAAGCATCCCAGAAACTATTCAGAAAAGTCAAACATGACCAGTATAGGCTTTTAAGCCCTACAAGTAAAAAACTACATTTTCCGCGAAAATGACGTCATTTCCGGTTTCGGGCAGGAAATGGCGGACATGCGATAGTTCCCGCTGACGTCTGTTTCACTGTGGGAAGTGTTACGAACAGCTGATCGGATCGGCAAAGCGTGTTTCTGGAATATTATGTTTTTGTTCCTGCAAGAGCTTTTTATGCAATTTTTGCAAAGCTTTATGTGGAAGGAAACCGTGACCGAGGACAAGCTGATGGAATAAGATGTAAGTACAACTCCTCTGGTTTCATATGCAAAAAAAACTTATTGCGCTAGCTTACACGGCTCAGGGTTCTTCAGGGATTTAAAAATAGTTACACAAAACGGAGCGTGCTGCTCTGACCGGATTTAAAGGGTAAACAATGACTTTAAAAAATAATATAAAATAGTGTGCAACACCACTGAAGTTTTTTTTAATCAGCGGTCTCCACCCTTTTTTGCGCCACGGACTGGTTTATGCCCGACAATATTTTCACGGACCGGCCTTTAAGGTGTTGCGGATAAATGAGGGAGGGGCTAATAATCGGCTCAGTCATTTTTAATGATCGTTGAAAGCCCAGATCGTAATCGTGATTAAAATTCGATTAATTGAGCAGCCCTAGTTGGGATTGTTGTTAACAACAGTGTAAATGTGTGCATTCTGCAGGTCCGTTGCACAGCGCATCACATCTGGAGCTTGGAATTACACTCTGACTATCAAGGCCTACACTGATGCCGGCCGCACACAACTTGTGGAGTGGAACAGTGAATTGCAGTTGAACGAGAAAATCTGGATGGTGTTGAAGACCGATGGCTTGGATGGAAGCATGGTCAGTGTGGTGACCGACTCCTGCTGGGCAACTGACAAGGCATCACCCACCAGCAGTCCAAGACATGATCTGATCATTAACGGGTGAGAGAAACTCAGAGGTGGTGGTTGCTCGCTGCTGCTCAGAGATTAATTCAACTCCTTTTGATCACTATTATGGACTCCTGAACAAAGTTTATTTTCCTGCTTATGATCAGCTGTGCAAACCCTGCTGACCCGACGGTGCAGGTGGAGGAAAACGGACTGGCAACCTCCACTTACTTCTCCTTCAACATGTTCCGGTTCACTGGGGGCTCTAGTGACATCTTCCTTCACTGCCAACTCCACCTGTGTCCCAAACAGGGGAACAACTGCATCCCGGTACGCAAATGTTCATAGAAAGATATACCAAATCTGGCCATCTTTTCTGATTTCATGAGACATTGCTCTGCACATAGACATTTCTCTTCAGTGTGCAAATGTTCAAGCACTGAAGCGCATTATTTACTGTTCCTTATCCATAGTGTCTTTTGCTATTGATGTCCAAATAGCTTCTAGATGTCCACAGAGAATTGGTTTGCATAAAACGAGCTGTCTTTGAATACATTAAATCTCAAATCTGCTCAACAGAACTGAAGTCTGACCTTTCGCTTCGCCATTTCATCAGGTCCAGAACTTCACATTCTTTTTCTTGGTCAAATAGTGTCTGCACAGCTTTGACTTATGATTGGGGTCAATGTCTTGTTGGTATATGAACCCACGACTAATCAGCTCCGGTCCAGAAGAGACTCCATAATGCACTAAAATGTTGTGGTAGACTTTCTTGTCCATGACACCATAGATTTTTTTCCTAATTTGCCCGAGCTGTTAGATATGGGTGCAGTGCATCAAGCATTAACCCTTTAAAGGCGGTCGGAGCAGCAACGCTCCGTTTTGCGTAACTATTTTTAAATCCCTGTAGAACCGGAACCATGTAAGCTAGCACAATAATTTTGTTTTGCATATGAAACCGGAGGGGTTGTACTTACATCTTATGCCATCAGCTTGTGCTAGGTCACGGTTTCCTTCCACATATAGCTTTGCAAAAATTGCATAAAAAGTGCTTGCAGGAACAAAAATGTAATATTCCAGAAACACACTTTGCCAATCCGATCAGCTGTTCGTAACACTTCCTACATTGAAATAGACGTCAGCGCGAACGATCGCATGTCCGCCATTACCTGCCCGAAACCGGAAGTGACGTCATTTTCGCGGAAAATGTAGTTTTTTTACTTGTAGGCCTTAAAAGCCTATACTGGTGTTTTTAAAAGTCATGTTTGACTTTATGCTTTTCTGAATAGTTTCTGTGATGCTTAGAACTCAAATTGCGCTGCTTTAAATAGTTTATTTTGATGCACATGCTGTTTTCTTTGCAAATTTGCATTATAGGATTGTTTTTCAATTTTTCTGCAGTATATAAAAATTGGTGTATCTCAAAAATAAAACTATGAAGATACTCAAATTTCCTGTGGTTGTAAACTATTTTTGCAACTTTTTTGTATTTAAAGTTTTGAGGGATAAACCTCTTAAATTTCTCCAAGTAGAAATATATGTAAAAAAACAAAACAAAAACGATGTTCAATTTTTCTGTAGTTTATTGCACTTTTTTGCAATTTATGTGGTTAATATGGATTTAATGCATAAATATTATTAAAATTTGGGCTATAACAGTTGTATTGACGTATAGCAACTTGAAATGCTCCCAAAAATGGCACTACAGCATGTAAAAATATAAAGTAAGCTTTGGCGGCCTTGGTTCTATGGTAGGTCTTAAAGGGTTAAAAGGTTCTTCAGCTTTTGAAAATGCTGTTTCTGATGCTGTTCATTGTTATCACCGGAATTCATCATTTTTAAAAGATGAATCGACCCATATATAATAGATGCTGATCGACTTTCAGAGACTACTATCATCAGATTCAATAAAAATGTTATAATTGGAGGGTTTTGACACAAAAGATGAAATGTTTGCTGTCAGTGGCTTCAGTCCTAAATGAATGGATCACTCTTGGTTTTGTAAAGCCTGGACTTTGTCTTTAACTTCCAGACGTGTAACACACCTGCTCGGGTACACAGATCTGCCAGTTTGACATATGAACCTGAAGCTCCAGCCTTCATCAGCGTGTCCTGGACTTATTAGGTAAGGTACAATCGGCTTTTGTGATTTACCATCATATATGTTATGTGGTGATTGCTGAAGAGAACAGTGAAGTTTAAGTAAGAAATTCAGAAAGAGGAAAAATGCCTGAGGAAACCTCACTGGTGGAGGTGGAAAGAGACATTACAGATATGTTAGCAATTTTTACTGGAGTTAAGTTTTCTGCCCACCTAAACTGATGGGTTTGTCTTTCCAACTTTGCCTGATAAGCTGTTGAGTGAATAAAATGTCCTAGTTTATACAGTGGTTCAAAAAGGTGTTTCCCCCCTTCCTGATTTGCTATTTCCTTTGTAGATTTGTCACACTTAAATGTTTCAGATCATCAAAAGAATTTAAATTTAAAATTTTAAGAGGAAAAAACCTACATGGCCCTGTGTGAAAAAGTGATCGCTCCCTTAAACCTTATAACTGGTCGGGCCAAACTTAGCAACAACAGCTGAAACGAAGCGTTTACCATAAATGGCAGTCTGTCTTGTACAGTGCTGTGAATGAATTTCGGCCCGCTCATTTTTACAGAATTGTTGTAATTTAGCCACATTGGAGGATTTTCAAGCCTAAACCACCTTTTTGAGGCCATGCTACAGCATCTCAATCAGATTCAGGTCAGGAATTTGACTTTGGCCACTCCAAAGTTTTCATTTTGTTTTTCTTAAGCCATTGAGGTGGACTTGCTGTTGTGCTTTGGATGATTGTCCTCCTGCAGAACCCAAGTGAGAATATACGGCCATCTGTTCGTGATCTCAGCTTGAGGTCAAGAATCGTTCTTTTGTGACCTCCTGGATGAGTTGCTGATGCACTCTTGCAGTAATTTTGGTAGGCTGGCCTGTGAAAGTTCATCACTGTTCGAGGTTTTGTCCATATGTGGATAATGGCTCTCACCGTGGTTCACTGAAGTCCCAAAACCTTAGAAATGGCCTTCTAACCCTTTCCAGACTGAGAGATGTCACCTACTTTGTTTATCAGCCGTTTCTTTGGATCGTGGTATGTTGTTTTGCTTTTTGAGATCTCTTAGCTTGCTTCAGTTTGTTAGAAAATTTCTATTTAATTACAAATACTTTTTCATACAGGGCCATGTTATCTTTGTCTAATATTTAAATTTGTTTGATGATCTGAAACACTTAAGAGTGACAAATACACAAAAAATAGGAAATTAGGAAGGGGGCAAACACTTTTTCACACCACTGTACGTCACCTGACAGTCCAGCATCAGGGCAGAGGTCATCCTCAAACACAGATGATTCCAACAGAAGAACTGGGATATGATTTGTGAAAAGGAGCCAAGGTCTGTGACAGAAAGAACAGCAGTCACAGTTTACTCTGGTTGTCTTCTCAGGTGGTTTCCACGGTGACTTTGATGGACTGACTGACCAACCGAGTGCTGACCTAATGTGACAGTGTTCGCAGAGACAAGAGACATGCTGCTTTTATCCATCTCCTTTATACTTGTACTATTTCTGCTAAAGGATGGAAAAATAAAGCGTGTGGTAACCAGTCTGTGTTTTTCCAGAATTTCATTACTTCTACTTTTTGGCTCTGAAACTGTTCAGCTTGAACTCCAGTCTTTTCAGCTTTAATGAATATTTCCTGCAATACATTCAGAGGCTTTGAAAAGCTGACGGGCTTAGAAAAATGAAAAGATGTGCACTAATATTAGTGTTACAGACACCACCCATTCATTCCACATTTAAACATACAGTTGTGGTCAGATGTTTATACACACTCATCATGAATGTCATGGTAATTTGGTTTTTTTAAATAAGTTATTGGAACTGGCCTTTTTCGATGGTGGAATGATGGTATAGCATACATGTTTAATTACTTTAAAAAATAAGAGCTGGGTGCTCAAGTTTGAATTTATTTGGAATTTTCTCTAATTCACACAGGGTCGAAAACTATGCATAAAGACTTAAATATATACTTACATCCTCACTAGTATTTGGTTAAATGTCTCAGAAGGTTTGACCTCAACCAAACACTTTTGGTATCCATCAACAAGCTTCTGGCATAATTCAGGCTGGATAATTGACCATTCATCATGGCAGAATTGGTAGAGTTTATTTCAATTGGTTAGTTTCCTCGCAAAGACCTGGCTTAGCTAATGTGAGCTAATGTGCTTTGAATGTGCTTCCATTTGAATCGAGTTTTCGTTTGTGTTTGGGATCGTTGTCAAGTAAAAAAAAAAAAAAGGAGAGTCCTGTATTATTGCATCCACATTGTGTAATGTACCAGTAGCAATAGTGTAAAAACAGCCCCAGAGCATGACGCTACCACCATGCTTGACGGCCGCTGCAGTGCTACTCCTCCAAACACACCACCTGTCATTTTGGCCAAATAGTTCAACCTTTGTCTAATAATAATAATAATGGATTGTATTTATATAGCGCTTTTCGACACCCTCATAGCGCTTTACAATTCCACTATTCATTCATTCACACACTGGTGGAGGCAAGCTACAGTTGTAGCCACAGCTGCCCTGGGGCAGACTGACAGAAGTGAGACTGCTATATCACGCCATTTAACAAATTCTTTTTATCCGGGCAATGAGAAACTACCATTTGCAGCCCACAAGTTTTTTCTCTTTTATTTTCAGGTGCTTACTTTACCATGTAAGAACCATGTAGAACCTTCAGCGTCAAGATGTGTGAATAGATATTATATAGAACACACAGGGAGTGGGCAGAAGTTTTAACACTGATGTCCCTCTTCTAGCCAACATGCAGGACAGTTTATATGGCCAAAATATATTTTTGTAGCAGGCTGTAAATATCTTTATTTCTGTTGTAAAGTTTGACATTTTGCGTCTGTGGGAACTGACTCACTTTTGGTCACTTTTAGAACCAGTCTGAAGTGGATATTAGAGAAACTGCAGTGTTCAGTGCTTTAACATTAGCTTTATTTGTTAGCCCCAGAGGTTGATTTTGCATAATGCAGCTTGGCATGCTGCAATATTAACATACACCAGGTTACTGACAACCCTTTTTCGAGCTACCAAATGGAAAAATGGGAAAGCCAAAACGGATAAGACTACATCTAAAACACAATATCCTCTTTAGCATGAGAAAAAACAAAACTCAACTCTGACCTTCCCCTTGGTCTCAATGGGTTGGCCAATTATCCAGAACATAAATCTATTGGAATTTTAAGATCAGAGCCATACCACCAGAAAACAAACATCTACTCAAACTGGCATATGGATACTATGAAACATGCATTTCTACAACAGTCTGATTCTAAACTACCTGAATCTGATGTAAACCCGTTCCTATTGATAGAAAATCTCTTAAGACATTTACTGTGGGAGGTCCCAAAGAAATCCAAGATGACAATAATCATTCAGAGAATTCTACAAAATAAGACAAAAAACTATTTCCATATAAAAATATAAAAACAAAGATAAGAAAAGTCAACATAAACTTAAATTATTAACTTAATATCATGTTTAAATTACATAACTGACAAATTACAAACTGCAAACTTAAAAAAAAAATTACTAAAACTTTAATAAGATGATTAAATCAGTCTCAAGGAATCCTGGGAATTATTGTAGTTCATTGCTCTGATTGGTGACTTTGAAAAGTAATCAGTATCAGCTAATGTGTCACCAATCAGAACTGAGGATGAGTGGATGCCCCACCGTTTTAGTGCTGCTCTTCAAACGAGCCATAGAGATTGAAAATGTGATGTCATTCAAGGGTAAAACCGCAAAGGATTCTGGGAATTCGTGGCAAGAGGTACTAGCGCACGCAGGCTTTCAATTGAAATCAGTTACACAGCGATAAAAAGAAACACAAAAAATGGAAAGAAGCTGTTGTATTATTAACTGCAATAGCCGGTCACATGACAGCCACGGGAAGCCGACGGGTAAAGCAGATAAAACAGGTTTTTTGTTTTTTTTGTATCACTAATTGCCCAGTACGATTACAGCATACAATATTATTGTCACTGCTACATTTCTGTAATCCGTACCAGAAATTATTTCCACTACTAATTAATTACCATTGAGCTTAAAGGTCCTATTAATAAACGGTTAACGAATGTGTATTTATGACGACGATTTGTGAGACTGGTAAACTTACCTTTGTTTGTGCGATGGTCTTTCGTTCTACACGGTGCATTTCAAGGTCCTGTACCCATCCGTCAGTAAACTGTACCTGGGCTTGTTGCAGTGACCTGAAGTTACTAAACTTCATGAATGTATGCACTGGTGGTGGTGAAAGTTGGGCAGCACGCTAACGTCTTTTGTCTACTCTGTGTGCTCGTAAGGGTCTAACCCTTTCACTCCTTTGATTTTTTTCCACGTATCTTTTCTTTGCCTTTTCGTCGAGTCTGTCTTTGTACAGACCGGCATTGTTATCCTTCGTTTTGTACATACCTTTTTTGGGGGGCAAAGAAAAAGCAAGAAGGTATTGGAACCGGAGAATGAACGTTTTGCAGTGCTGCAAATACTTGCATTTGATGCGGTACTTGGATTGTTTTGCCACGAGTTCCCGGCATGCAATGCGCAAAAGTCACGTGGTCTGTCAATCTCTATTGTGGGCTTGTTGTTCCTACTGAGGTTCAGACAAACTGTTTGGGTTTCTGGTTGGGGGTCGGCGTGGCTTGTGGTGGGAGGGGCTTTTGCTTCTCTGATGACTCTCCCTGGTCACTAGCTGTGGATAAATAAAAGTAGAAAATGAGGAACTGTCACACTGATCTGAGCCCTGAAGTGAAAAATAAACTGAATATGAGCATAATGGAGCTGAAAATAGGTTTAAGGTTTAACACTAGAAAAGAAAATGCACAGTTCTCACACCCGGAGTGTACCGTCGTCTTTTATATGCAATCTAAGGTTTAAGTTCTAATGACCGAAAATCAGGCTGATCTAAACTACATCTACATAAAAAAGTCAAAAGAGAAGACTCATATGACATTTGTTATTCATATTTTAATAAATAAAAAAAATTGTGACTCCTGTGACCAAATCTAAAAATCAATGAAAAAGTTGACATCACTCTAAGCCACCACCAAAGGTGTGCAATACAGTAAATGTTGGTCTCAAGATTGAGACCAACATTTAATGAAATGCTCTAAAAGTTAAATTAGACAAAGATGATCAGAGAAAATAAAAACCACAGTTTTTAAATGATGATTTCCCTTTTTAAGAAAGAAAAAACAGCGGTTTTGTGATAGGCTGACGTTTGTTTTCTTGGTTTTAACTGGATTTCTTTTTACAGTTTCAGGACTTTTGTACAAAAACACATAGCTTGTGGTAATTAAGCTTCAGGTTTTGGTGAAGCCCTCAGAGGTGAAATACAAATGTGTGTGTGCATGTATTTGTGACTTACTCTGTAGCTTGGAGAGAGAGTACTCCAGCCCTCTCATGGCTTTAGCTTGGTTACTTTTAAACCTGGCAAGACCGAATTCCTGGCGGAGAAAGACAAAGAATTAGTCAAAGATAAATACCCGCACCATACGTTAGCTGTATATAGATACTGACGAAGTGTCACATAGTTGGTTTTGGTATCTTGGCTTGGCTTGAGAGCCAAGGTATTACTTCACAATTTTCTGAGTGTTTGCAGACATCTTCCATGCAAACTATGGGCGACAATGGACAATCTGATAAGAGACCAAACCAATCGCAGACAGAATTTTGGTGCAGCACCCTCTTTGCAACGAATTTCCCCAGCAACAACTCGCTAACTAGTCAGGGGTTTTATTTATGACCTGCATTGCCAAGGAGTAACCGAGATATTAGCTAATCCAACATGAAGCTATGTAACAAGCATAACAACCCAACTGCAAAAATAATGGAATAAAATTATAATCGCAAACATGCAGAACATTAAGGCAAACTAAGCAGCCGTTATCAAGTTCGTGTTGACCACACCTCCAGCCATTACTGGGGATCTTTTATAGAGATTGAAAATGTGATGTCATTCTGGGGTAAAACCGCAAAGGATTCTGGGAATTCGTGGCAAGAGGTACTAGCGCACGCAGGCTTTCACATGAAAACAGTCACACAGCGATAAAAAGAAACACAAAAAATGGCGAGAAGCTGTTGTATTATTAACTGCAATAGCCGGTCGCATGACAGCCACGGGAAGCCGACGGGTAAAGAGATTGTTTATGGGATTACGTCGTGGAAGAGAAATTGTTCAAGCCATGTTTCCGAAGTAACAAGAGCTGACGTATGGCCTGGATTGCAGCAATTTGAAGACCAAATATAACGTTTCAGAACACTCCAGCTCACATGTTAGTCTGCTCCAAGCATTTCCACAAAGGTACGTCTTCTGTTGTAGTTATTACGTAATTTATCATAAAATAATTGTTGATGTAGGTTACAAGTAAGTCTTATATTGATTTGAATAGAATTCATTGCGCTATGCTGCTTTGTTCACTGTGGCTTTGCGGGCTAATGTTTGTTATGTTTTGTAGGAAAACCAGCCTACAAAATGCTGGAATGCGATCCAGACTGGGCGCCCTCTATCAACCTTTGTACGGACCTGCCGTGTTGTCCGTCGTTTTGTACATAACTGTTTTTGGGGTAAATAAAATGCAAGTAGGGTTTAAAACCACAGAATTAATGATTACCGGTGCTGGAAATACTAGCGCTTAATGCAGTGTTTTGATTTTGTTGCCACGGGTACCCACAAAGCAATGCACGAAGGTCACGTGGTCTGTCAATCTCTATCAGAAATACACTAAGAGAAGCTGATGTGTTCTTTATACTTTAAGTGATAGTAGGTTGAGTTTGGGTTTTGGTGGCCAATTTTCCTTAGGACTGAAACATTTGTATGTTTGTGTATACCTGTATGGGTCGACCCAGTCCATATACAGCTGTGGAGATCCAGGCCTCCCTCCTCAATTTGGTCCAAGATGGCCGACCATGGTTCTCTTCAAACAGACACCGCTCCACAACAGTCTTAGAGGCAGAGACGGTAGAAAATGTACAAAAAAGCCCGTTTTTACTGCAAACACAAACTATGTTCAAGCACAGGAAAAAGTATTATATTCAACTTAGTTAAATACTGAAAATGTTAAAACCAACCAGACTGTAAGAGGCCTTGTAGTTTTCCAGTCAAAAAGCATTTATACCTGTGTCCAGTGCAGTTCTTTAAATCCGCAAATTCATCCATTTTCTTGTCCTTTCTGAGATGAGCAAAAGTGGAGAGAATGGCCTCATTAGGCAACTATCTCCAGCCTTTCCAGCAAGGCATTCCCAGTCCAGTCCTGTTTCTGTCACAGGTCTCCTCACAGCTGGACATGCCCAAAACCCCTGACCTAGTCCATCAAAGTCTAGATGTGCAGGAGATCTCCTATTCAGGTGCTCAAACCATGTCAGCTGGTTCCTCTATTACAGTGGTTCCCAAACTTTTTTTGCTGCCTTTGTTTTACAACACGCACGCACACGCACAAACACATCCTCCAACCACACATGCCCATATTTTGCTCCATTGCGGTTTCTTTCACACCTCAAACATTTAGTAAACAATTAAGCAAATACAAGTGACTTGCAATAAATTACAGGTAGTAAGAAAGTAAACTATTACGCTACGTCCACAACTACACGGGTATTTTTGAAAACGCAGCTGTTTCGTTCACACATAAACAGCATTTCGAATCACCGAAAACTGAGATTTTTTTAAAACTCCTTTTTTTCCGTTTACGTGTGGATGAGGAATACAGAGTTCGTCACGCAACGTCAAAGGTATGTGCCTTTTTTCACGTCACGCTGTGCGCACGTTATTGTTTACATGAGATGAATTGCAGAATGGCAGATAGAGACAAAATACTGTTAATCTTACTGTCTTCAGGTTTTACACACTAACATATACAAACGCAGTTACTGTCCCTCCATTTAGAAAGGCAGAGGCGTCACGGTGTGATTATTTTACTGTATGTGTAATAATATTCAACATTGCTATCAATGCATTTTTCAAAAAATGCCTCTCTGTGCAAAATGGGTTTAAAAACATAAACAACTGTGGGATACTGTTTGTCCGTGATAGGGAGAGCACAGTGCTGCTCCCAACGCAGGGAAAACCAATTAAGCACGGGAGACCTACCTCGGCACTTGTGCAGGTGAAACCAAAGGGCAAACATGCTTCACCAGATTTTCTAGTCTTTGGCTTAGAATGAAGTTGGTTTGGAAACATATTCAGCGATGCTTCATCTCCTGCTTTGCATTTCTGTGGGCGCCCCGTGCTAGCAGTGTCCAAGAGTTTTGTTTTTTCTCCCCCCCCTTTTCATACCGCGCCCCCCTGCAATGGCTCTGCGCCCCCCCCTGGGGGGCGGGCCCCACACTTTGGGAAGGTCTGCTCTATTACATCCACCTCTTATGACCATGATCTCATGCTTTCATGCTATTCACAGCTCGTGGCCATTTTCTGATTGGTTATCTCAAACTGCAAACTGCCCCATTCAAAGTGGGAGAAATCACTTGATGACAATAAGACCATCGATCTGAACTCTATCCTATCTGTCATGGGGTGGGGGTGGGGGGGTTAATTAACCACAGTGATCTAATCAGAGCGCATCTCACCATCAGCGTGTTGTGGTTCAGGTTCCAGGTCTTGGTGATGAGCGTGTGGGCCTGAGGGTCCACGATAGAATCTTCCAGGACATAGACCGCCCGAGCCATGTGCATGGGGAAGACCCGCTCCGCCCAGCCCGGCAGGCGGTTGGTCTTCGTCAGCAGTCGCCTGGACAGCAGGTGGTTGCTGGAGGTGACCTCGCGGTATAGGACATCTTCCGTGAGTACATGGGTGCTGGTACACCAAAACAGATCTATTTTTTAAGGACACTCACACATTCTTTTTTTTTAAATGTCTTTTATTGTTTAAAAAACTGAAGTTCTCCAAACAACACCCAGGGTTGATGCAGTCAAGATAAAAGCACGACAGTTTGGTCCACTTTGTCCATTGTCTGGAGAAAATGGACTAATGTGTTTTTTTTCTTTTATTGTACTAGATAATAAGGTGACATTTTTCACTGTTTTATAAGGGAAAAATATCAGATTCATTGATGGAAATGACTTTGCATATTCACTGAAACAATCATTAATTACCTGTATGGGTTTGGGTAGCGCTGCCAGAAGGCAGCCAGCACCTGATGCCACGGGCTCTTAATGTCCACCTCGCTGTGGAAATACCTCCCCATGTCGGCATGTACTAACAGAGCTCATTCAGCAGCTGCAGGAACAACATAAGAGACAAGTTATATTTTTTTAAAATATATTTTGTATTTAGTGTCATGAGTTCCTCTTCATGTTTAAGTTTGTAGAATAAAATTCCTGTCCCGTTGGTATGAACACTCACTGAATTTGATCACGGCAAGCAAGAGAGGATAGGACAGTCGTGTCAAAGTCCCCATTAACAGGACAGACAGCTGATTGTGCCTGCATTAGTGCCTGAAAATCCGGGTAGCTTTAAATTCTAACAGTGTGTTTAAATGACTTTAGGTTTCATACCACAAAAAGCTTTTCCCCCACAAAAAGTTTTCAGACGCTAGTTTTCAGACACCAAATGAAAACCGTTGGGGTGAGCACGTTTTTAAATATGCAATTGTTAACAGTAGAATCTAAAGTTGCCACTTTAGTGAAAAAATGACTTTGCATTGGCCGGGAATTGAACCCGGGTCAACTGCTTGGAAGGCAGCTATGCTAACCACTATACCACCAACGCTCACATCAGCAGAGGGGAAAGTAGAGCAACTTATCCTGTGATTAACACAATACTAGTACTTCTACGCAATGCTTTTCATCATAGCATTTGTTTACTGTAAAAACTGTTAGCTGCGACCGTTATTAGGTGTTGCTACAGCTCGAGGCCAGCATTGCTAATCCCTTTGTTTTATAACCGCACTTCATCAGCGGGCTCAAGCTAGTTAGCTGTTTAACGCGGTCGCACAAATACCCTCTACCGTAAACGTCGCAGTCTGTTGTAGCTGCTGAGGAAGCTAACAGCTTCGGCTAGCCAAGTAACGGACGTACCTAAAGCGCGTGTTTCTCAAAGCCCGGCGGACTGTAAGTGAGCCGGCATGGATAAAACACAGCAGCGGGGCAGCTCGGGGGTTTCTTTGTAGCAGCTGCTTATTTGAGACAGAAACAAAGAAGAAAAAAAGTGGACCCAGGCGGTCATACGTGCACTTACCGCCTTTTTCCACCAGATGGCAGACTAGACAAGCAGAAATCAGGTCGCGCTGCTTGGTAAACGGTTCACGACTAAATCCACATGATCTGCAGACCGCATGAAGTTTGGAGGTCTGTGGCAACTCTGCAAAAATTTGGTGCCCTCTGTGCACTCACTCTGTCAATTTACATGATTTACATATTTTAGTCTAGGCAACCCAAAATGTGACGTTCACATATGTGGACGCCAGGTTCTAGGAGGTTAAAGAAGTCCAGACGCTTTTCCTTCCAAGCTCCTTAGATCACAATACAGTTTCTCTCAATCTTTTAAAGTGTAAATCTGTCTGTACGTGCTGGTACCACTTCTGTCTGTTGCACTTATTTACTCTAGGATGGGTGTCAGCTAACAGAAAAGGAGTAAATACTTTTTTCCATTGTTACAAAATAAAATAATAAATAAATAACTATACTGTACAGGCAAAAATATACTACAGACACTTTTCAGTTGTGAATTGAAGCAGGCCTGGTCAGATTTAGAGCAAATCTAAGTTTCAGGTGATATATCCACTTAGACTATGGTTTAAAGATCTAATGTTTAAGAGAATAAAGTTGTTATGATGAGATTGAGCAGTGATTGATCCCCTGGACTTGCTTGATACCCTGCACTTTCCACGGAATTCCTATCACATAAGCTGGCCCTGAAGACCTGCACTTCATGTTGTTGATGAAAAAAAGACAGTTGAAAAATGCATGAAATGTTTAAGAAATTCTAAGATTTTTTTTTTCTTTCGCAATCACTGTTTAAACATAACTACCAAAAGAGCTGTACAGGAAAGGAGTGTCTCCTGTCTGGTAAAATACCATGAATTCAGTCCAGGTTAAATGACTCAATAATATGGGCTGCACCCCATAAAGTAAAGAAAACTTGTCTTGTAAAATTAGGGTGACCATATTTTGATTTCCATTTGATTTCCAAAAAAGAGGAGATTTGGCTTAGTCATGAAAAACTTTAATAATACAATTGCTTAAAGAAAACTTTAACATATTTAAACGATAGGCTTTTACAAGTCAACAACTGCAAAAAAGAGGACGGTTGGTCACCCTAGTAAAATGGTGAAATATTATCCGTTCATCCATTCTCTTCTGCTTATCCAATGGGGAAATATTGTTTTTCTGAAAAATTCTCAATAAATTACTTAGTACAGTGGTCCCTCGTTTATCGGGGTAGTTATGTTCTAAAATTAACCTGCAATAGGTGAAATCTGCGAAGTAGCCAACTTTATTTTTATACAATTATTATAGATGTTTTAAGGCTGTAGAACCCCTCACAACACACTTTATACACTTTTCTCAGACAGGCATGAACATTTTCACACTTTTCTCTCTTGTTTAAACACTCTCAAAGTTCAAACCTTTGTAGAAAAATAAGTCCAGTATTATAGAATGAAACCAAAGAAACCCGCAGGTGACTTTGGCGGTGCAAAACGTTTCATCGACATTGTTGTGTTTGTTGGCAAGAAAACTTACAAACACACAGTACAGCACTTCAAAGCCACACTGGTAGCGATCGAAGATTTATTTAAACTTGACAAGCTGGACACATTCTGTAATGTACTGGAGACACGGCACGAGATTGATTGACAATGGTCACCCTGTACACCTCTGACTTCTGCTACAACTCTGAATTATGCCACATTCAGAAGTTTGCAGATGACACAGCCATCATGGGGTGTATCTGGGATGATCAGGAAGAGGAGTAGAGAAGTCTGGTGAGGAACTTTGTCGCATGGAGTCACACAAACCACCTGCAACTCAACACCTCAAAGACTAAGGAACTGGTTGTGGACTTCGGGAGGTCCAGAGAAGGTCCCCTGCCGGTTCAGATAGAGGGGGAGGAGGTGGTCAACAAGTACAAGTACCTCGGGCTGTGGGTGGACAACAAACTGGACTGGTGATGCAACACAGAGCACCTGTATAAAAAAGCCCAAAGCCGACTGTACTTCCTCAGGAGGCTGAGGTCTTTTAACATCTGCAGGAAGCTCCTGAGGATGTTTTACCAGTCAGTGGTTGCTGGAGTACTTTTCTATGCTGTGGTGTGCTGGGGGAGCAGCACAGCAAAGAAGGACTCATCCAGGCTGGAGAAACTGATCAGGAAGGCTAGCTCTGTGGTCGGCATGAAGCTGGACACTCTGGTGACAGTGGCAGAGAAAAGGACACTAAAAAAACTGCTGGACATTATGGACAATGCTGGGCATCCTCTGCACACGGCCATAAACAACCAGAGGAGTCTGTTCAGTGACAGGTTGCTTCTCCCAAAGACAAGAACCAACAGACTTAAAAACTCCTTTGTCCCACACGCCATCAGACTGTTTAACTCCTCTCTGGAGGGGAGAGGGAGGGGAAACAGGAGGACAAAGGAGGGGGGAACAACTAAGCTGTAGTGCCTCTTCACTTCACTGTGCAATACCTTTTGTGCAATACTCTTGTTAATAGTCAACGGTGCAAATAGACCTCAATACTTTAAATGTGCAATTCACTTGTATTTTTATTTTTATTCCTATTTATTCTATTTATCCCCTTCGTATATTTATATGTCTCTGTATTTATATGTGTGTGTGTGTGTGTGTGTGTGTGTGTATATATATAACATTCTGTAACTCTGTAACTTCTGTCGGTGCTGTGCTTTTGGAAACCGAATTTCCCAGAGGAACCCACCCGAGTGATTAATAAAGTCTTATCTTATCTTATCTTATCTCTCTCTTATCTGGTCTACAGCCAATCAGGATGCAGAACACAATGTGCTGTAAAAAAAAAAAAAGAAGAAGAAGAAAAAGAAAAAACTACGGAGCCCTGCAAGGGACATGGGAGAACAAAAATGAAGATGAACTTTTGTGAGATTTCGCAAAAGTAACTCGGGATCTCACAAACGTTTTGCGAGATCTCGCAAAATAGGCTGCATCCTTCAGAGGCTGCCAGCTTGAAGCTGACGACCCAGGTGACGAAGGCTGGCCCAATTCAAAGGCTGCTCCAAATGTGTCCTTTGTGGGCCAGCCTTTTCAGGCGAGAATGTAGCTGTGTACACTTCAAATATCTGCTTGGTTTATTAAGACATCACATATTTGCAAAGGTGCTCCAACGTTTTTGGAGATGTCTGTTACCCACCAGTTTGAAGTTTTGCGAGATCTCGCAAAAGTTCATCTTCATTTCTTTTCTCCCATGTCCCCTGCGGGGCTCAGTAAAAAACAAAGCATGCAAAATTTCATGCGAAACAGCAAGGCAGCGAAAGGTGAAACGTGTTATAGTGAGGGACCACTGTATTGAAAAATTAATTACAGTATAATTTGTTTCTCCTTTCCTGTAAAATACCTACAATTTAGGCCCTATTTAAAATTATTTATGCAGTACTTGAATGTAGTTAAATAAGAGTTATCCTCTTATTCGAGTGTACCTATTTTGCCTGGTGATTTTGTGTCATTATACACATTAGACAAAGAAATTTAGAACCAAATTTTACATTTCATACTGGTGTTTACTATATTATACTATGTGTCTGTATCAAGTATCAGTGTCTCCTTTGTCTCCTTCTTCTTGGCTTGGTAACATGTAACAACTGAACATGTTGGCATTTTACAATTATCCCCTCTTTCTGTCAGCATTATAGATTCAGCTGTGTTGTAAAGTTAATAGGCTAAATAGGATAAGTGATGTGTCCTAAAGTATCCTTTAGATCAATGACTAGATGCTGGAAAAAAAAGAGCTCACCTCTTGGGTCGCAGTTGCCTTTGTCTTCATCCACAAGTACACGGTTAATTTTTAAAACAGCTCCCCCAAGTTTCTTTAAATAAAATACCCCCATCCACATAAAACTAAAAAGAAAAACCCATCTCAAGCGTTGTCAAGACCCAAACAAACATATAACCCTAATCTGACTGAAAATCAGAATCAGAATCAGAATACTTTATTGATCCCTAGGGGACATTATTTTTTGTTACAGTGCTCCATTATAAACAAACATTAACAAGACATACACTACACTAAGAATAGCACAATATATACATATATATATATATACATAAAAGTCACTTATCAATAAATAGCTGAAAAAGAAACATGTGTAGCTGTAGCAGTAAACAGTGTGTTAAGTGGATGCGTTGTACAGGGAGATGGCCACAGGCAGGAATGATTTCCTGTGTCGTTCAGTGGTGCTTTTCAGTAATCTCAGTCTCTCACTGAACGAGCTCCTGTGACTGACCAACATGTCATGGAGTGGGTGGGAGGTGTTATCCAACATTGTCTTTATCTTGGACAGCATCCTCCTCTCCGGCACCACCTTGAGGGAGTCCAGCTCCATCCCCACAACATTACTGGCCTTACGGATCAGTTTATCGAGTCTGTTGGCATCTGCGACTCTCAGCCTGCTCCCCCAGCATGCAACAGCATAGAGGATCGCACTGGCCACAACAGACTTGTAGAAAATCCTCAGCATTTTCTGGCAGATGTTGAAGGACCTCAAAAAATAGGGACGACTCTGGCCCTTTCTGTAAAGTGCTGTGGTGTTTTTAGCCCAGTCCAGTTTATTGTCAATGTGTACTCCAAGGTATTTATAGTCCTCCACAATGTCAACACTGACCCCCTGGATTGAAACAGGGGTCAAGTGTTTCCTGGTCTTCCTGAAGTCCACGATCAGTTCCTTGGTCTTTGCCACGTTGAGCTGCAGATGATTCTGCTCACACCACGTGACAAAGGAGTCGACCACAGCCCGGTACTCTGTCTCATCATCCCTGCTGATGCATCCAACCACCGCAGAGTCATCAGAAAACTTCTGAAGATGGCAGGTCTCTGTGCAGTGGCTGAAGTCTGTGGTGTAGAGGGTGAAGAGGAAGGGGGAGAGGACAGTCCCCTGTGGTGCCCCTATGCTGCTGATTACCTTGTCAGATACACACTGTGGGAGACGTACATATTGTGGTCTTCCTGTCAGGTAATCAACAATCCAGGAC